GGCCAGGGAGCTAAGCTATGTCCATCACGGCTCTCAGCCACTGGGGTGCCACCTGGGCATCTCCCTGAGATGGGCTTTGGTAGGGAAGTGAGAGCAAAGAGCCCTCTGCAGTGAGGGTTGCTGTTGCACTGTTTATTTTGTTGTAGTGTTTGGGGGTTCACTTTGTTGTTGTTCTTGGTAAGCCATCTGGTTTGCTTGAATAAAGCCATCAGTTAGGTTAATTGTTTTAGTGTCAGAAGAGAGGGTCTCGGTCAGGTACTAGCACTCCTTTCCCGAGTCTCCTGGGGCTGGCACTGTAGTGTGGCTGAGGCCGTCACTGGAGAAGCCCGTTGTCTTTCATCTGACACATGGGCTGATAGGATGTTCTGTGCAGACTAACCGCAATTGCTTTCTTTTGCAGCCTAAGCCTGTGGAGGTGCAGGTGATAACGCACCACATGCAGCGCTATGCTGTGTGGTTTGGAGGCTCCATGCTGGCCTCAACCGTAAGTCCCTTTCTAGACTGTTACATTGTCATTTGTGCATCTCTGTGAGGTTTGGATAAATATTGCCTATGAAAATTAAATACCATGTGTTCTGTTTGCATGGCTTTAAACAGACTGAATTCTGTTCGATATAAAAATGTTAGTTATCAGTTCAATTGTATATCTCATTCATAAGCACCCTGCTAATTGTGGGTTGCAGATAAACATGTGTATATGAAATCTAAAAGTAATCTAGAGCATCCTGGCTTTCTCCTGTGTGTGTGTACATGTGTGCACATGTACGTGCAGGAGTGTGCAAATTGTGTGAGGAGGCCAGGTCAATATTGGATCTTCTTCAATCACCTTTTCTTTTTGAGTCAGCTTTCTCTCTAGGACCTGGCTCACCAATTAGCCTAGGCTGGCTGGCGTGGGATCTTGAGGGCTCCACCTGTCTCTGTCTCCCCAGCAGTAGGATTAAAGGTGTACATTGCCATGCCCGGCTTTCCCTAGGGCACATGGATGGGCTCAGGTTCTCACATTTATATGATAAGCATATACCAACTGAGCTATCTCCCCAGCACCTTCTTGGGTCCTTTCCAAGTGATTATTTTAATGTATTAATATCCTCCCTTGAGTTTGCTAGCAGCTATTTTAGTTCAGGTTAACAAATATTTGATCCCAATAAGTGGAAACTGAGTAAATCTGTTGTTTTCCAGTGCTGGGAACTGCTGAGGGAATTTTTTTTTTTTTGATTTTTGAGACAGGGTTTCTCTGTAGTTTTTGGTGCCTGTCCTGGAACTAGCTCTTGTAGACCAGGCTGGCCTCGAACTCACAGAGATCCACCTGCCTCTGCCTCCCGAGTGCTGGGATTAAAGGCCTGTGCCACCACCGCCCGGCCTGCTGAGGGAATTTTTAAAAGTGAATTGAACTTCTGCGTGGATGTCACCCAGTGGTTGGCAGAGGGACCTCTGGATGAGGACAGCCCCGCCCCTTTGCTCACTGGTTTCCTCTGCCCCTGCTCATCCTCTCCCTCCCACTGCTCCTCCTGCAGCCGGAGTTCTTCCAGGTCTGTCACACCAAGAAGGACTACGAGGAGTACGGCCCCAGCATCTGCCGCCACAACCCCGTCTTCGGAGTCATGTCCTAGTGTCTGCCTGGGCGCCTCGTCTGACAGTGTCATGTTGGGAATAAGTGTCCTTCAGAACCCAGAGCAGCCAGGCCCCTGTAGATAGCAGTGCAAGCAGGGTGCTCTCACCACCAGTGCGTGGGGCCGGCTGCAGTCCTTCCCGTCAAGCCATCTATCCAGTTACTGTTCGTGGCCCTCCCCCGTTGCCCTCCCCCCTCTCCCCCCTTCACCTCCCACTTTCTCTCCGTTCCATCTGAGCTTCTAGTTGAAAGTATAACTCTGAAGAAGTTCCTCGCAACCTTAGAAACTACTAAAGGAACCGTGATTTCTGGAGAAAGCGGTTTCTCCAGGAAAGAATGTGGGGTGGACCCCTGGCCTTCTCAGCCTATTTTTGTAAATAAAATGTTATAAACTTGAAATACATGTTTATATTTCCTATCATTTTGTATTTTATGGTATTTGGTATAACTGACTGACACCAAGCATGAGTAAGTCTGGCTGTCACGGAGTTCTGTAATAAAGTGTTTAACTGTGAGGCATGTTCTGATGTGTGTATAGGCAAACAAAGCAGCAGGCTTTATGCCACACGCCTGCTGGGAAATGATCACATGTGATTGGGGGTGATATGAAGTCTGGACACTAACCAGTGTTGGGTGAGCATTGCTCCAGATGTGCCTGAGCTTCCTGGACTGTTTTATAGAGGATGACGGGTCAATGTTGCTGATGTTGGATGAAATGCTAGCCACACTGTTGTAATAAAAGCTGCTAGAATCTTTATAACTGCTCCTTGTGGTGTCTTCCGGCTTCCCCGTCCATTCATAGATCCTTGGGCTCTGTTACAGGGGTCTGAAGAGGATTTGCGGATCGATACAGTGTGTGTGTGTGTGTGTGTGTGTGTATGTGTGTGTGTGTGTGTGTGTGAGAGAGAGATGTCTTTAAAATGATGACACTACCCCCAGGAGTGGCTAGGTAACCTGCTCGATGTGTTCTGGGTGGTGAGGGAGTCCTCAAGCTGCCCAGGTCCCCTTCCTAGGAAAGTTTTCAGTGCTTCTCGGGTGTCTGCTGAGTCTTTTTCTCACTCGGATGGAGGTCAGGAGATCCAGGGTGCTCCCCTCGCCCTATAATCCTTGTTACTGTAAAGATTGTTATTATAGCTCTTCCAACTGTGAGGTATACTTTACTCTCAGAAAACTTCCCTTTGTAACCATTTGGTTTACTGTTTACATCGGGAAACAGGTTTGTAGCCTCCTTTATCTTTAGTTACTCACAATCAAAGTCTGAGAATATTCAATGAAAAATTTTGATAAGCAGAGAGACTACATTCAAGTAACTGTAAATAATTAAAAGACTATTATTGTATGTGTGCATGGCATGTACATGTATGGGGTGGATACAAGTGCTAAGGTTCCCATGTGAGGGTCAGAGGACAATGTTGTAAAGTCAGTCCTTTCCTTTGACCTTTGTGTGAGTCCAGGGATTGGACTCAGGTCTCCAGGTCTTGAAGCAAGTGACTTTACCCACTGAGCCGTCTCTCTGGCCCTTTATGCAACTTCCATTATAGTGTTTATTCTATTATACTTGCTCTAAATTGTACTTTATTATTTTTTAAGTACTCAATGAATATTTTAAGTGTAAATGTACACTTCATCCACTTTGCTTGCTAATGTGCTTATCAGTCTGTGCACATGTGCACACACACATGCACATACACCCATATGCACACACATGTGCACACATACACACCTGAGCACGGCAGTACTTGTGTGCTTATAGTCTCAGCATTTACAAGGCAGGGCGAGAAGGGTCACAAGGTTGAGGCCCGCCTGGTCTACACAGTGGGTTTTAGGTCAGCCAGGGATACATAAACAGCAAAGACCCTCACTTTGAGATGGTCACTGAGTAGACGCTCTGTTGTGCAAGCCTGGCAGTGTGGGTTTGGGTTCCAGCAGCCATAGTGGAGGGCGAGAACTGAGACTCCAAGTTTGTCTTTTGACTTCTGCCTCTGTGCTGTGGGACGTCTGCTCGTGCACACACATATACATATACATACACATACACATATATGTTACTAATAAAGTATTTTCCAAAGTTAAAAACAATAGCAAAACTCAATATATACAAATATAAATATATATGTGTTCATACACAGAGATGTGTTGTGGCTTACGATATGGCTGTGTGCCAGTAAGCCCTTTGAGAATGGTTTATCAAGGGTGTTTACTGTACCTCTCCTAGCTAAGCTGAGCCTCACATGTACACGTGTACTCACATGAGCTTACGTGTGGGCAAAATTATCTAACACAAAGCCAGGTTTGTAACAGACTGTTGACTACACACATGGGCACTGTGCAGACATGGTAGAATGTAAAACACCACCGTGCCATGCTGGCAGCGTGTCACACCGTAGAGTGGTGTCTCCTCTCACGATGGCATGTGTGACTGGGTTACAGCTTACTGCGGCTGCCACACTTCACAAGCGAGTGTGACGGGCCGTGTCGCTAGTCTGAAATGACACCAGAATAAGGAGTGTGAAAAATTCCAAGAATGATTTAAGTCAGGGTGTTGTCTGCATGTGTGAATTAAGTGCTGTAGGTATATTAGTGCAGTATCAGGTGAGATGCTACTCACAAAGGAAAGAACTTTGTTTAGCGGCTGATCTCAGAGGTTCAAGGGCATCAGTTCAGCTCTGGTGAGGCCCCTCATTTTGCTCACATCATGTAGATGGCCACAGTGGTGAGCATTGCAGGAGTGAGGGCTGCATCTGGGTTCAGGAAGCCATACAAAACTGAGTGGGACAGGATTCGGGCTTTTGTAATGAGCCTCTCATGGGAATTACCTTAATCTCTTCTAAGGGCAGAGCTCCAAGTGTGACCCAAAGGCCTCCCATGTAAGGGGCTCCAGGTCAGCCAGGGAACTATATAGCAAGACTCCGACAGTGAGAAGGTCACCAAGGAAAAGCTCTTGCACCATCCTGACAACCTGGGTGTGATCTCCAGCACCCATTATGGAAGGAGAGAACTGGGACTCCCACAAAGTACATCTAGGCCATAGCTGGATGTATTTATGGCTAGGATAGGACAGAGTGTAGTTGTTGTTTCAGACGTATGCTGGGGTGTGGGGGCACGTAGACCATATCCCTCAACAGTGAAGAAGTCAATGATAACCTGTGCTGTTTGCTGTGTTACAGGGATGCTCAACCACAATTTACCACTCGTCTTTCATCCGGACACAGTTTTCTCTGCACCTTCCAGCTCTTTTATTACAACAAATCCCTGGCTGGTGTGTCTGCTTCAGCCACACTCTCTGTATCCTATGCACAGACCAAGAGTACTTCCTTCTCCCTATTTTCATCTTAATTGTTATACTGAGTGCTTTTTGGGGGGGGGTCAACTTGACACAAGTTAGAGTCATCTGGGAAGAGGGAGCCTCAGTCAAGGAATCATCTTCAATCAGATTGACCCGTGGACAAGTCTATGTGTCATTTTCTTGGTTGATGATTGATATTGGTGGGTGGCACCATCCCTGGGCAGATGGACCTGGGATGGCTGCATGAGAAATCTGGCAGAACGCAGGCAGGAGAACAAGCAAGTTAGCAGTCTCTCTATGGTTCCTACCTCTGCTACTGCTTGCGTTCCTGCCCTGACTTCCCTCTGTGATGGTCTGTGATGGAGTCATGTCAGCCAAATAAGCTCTTTCTTCCCCAAGTTACTGCTGGCCATTGCAGAGAAGCAAACTATAATATTTGCATACTGTTTTGTGTAACATGAAGGGGCCTGCTTGTTGGGGTTACTGTCCTGCCCAGTTCCCCACAGCTGGCAAGCCCCAAAGAAAATCACACAGAGATCTCCATAAGTTATAAAACTGATTGGCCCATTAGCTCAGGCTACTTATTAGCTCTTGTAGCTTATAGTAACCCATTATTCTTATCTATGTTAGCCACATGGCTCAGTACCTTTCACAGCGGGGCAGGTCACATGTTGCTTCTCGGTGGTCTGGGCAGGAATGCGGAGGGAGCTTCCTGCTTCCCAGAATACTCCTGTTCTCATTGCCCCACCTCTACTTCCTGTCTGGTTGACCCGCCTATACTTCCTGCCTAGCCAATCAGCATTTATTTGAAACATGATTGACAGAATACAGACAATTCTCCTGCCCCAGTTTTGGAGCCATGGTGCCTCCCTGGAAGCTTCCTTCCAACCTTATAGTCTAGGTATGTGCCATCTTGTCTGTGGCCTTCTTCACATAGTGTGGTTGTGTTTCTCACAGTGACTGCCTTTCTCTGCCCTGCTGGCAGCTGCTTTGATTCACCTCCTCCAGGCTTCCAGCATAAGGCTTCTGTATGTCAGTGTTGGGCACCCATGTTGGCCAAACTAGGGCCACTGTAACCTGGTCTCAGATCCAGACCATCTAAAGCTCCCTGCTCCTACTTGCCACAAGATTGTTGTTGAAAGCCTTTTAGTTAATCATTTTTGCTTCATTAACTTTATATATATATATATATATGTGTGTGTGTGTGTGTGTGTGTGGTGTAAGTATGTGTTCATGTGGGTGCACACCCGTGGAGGCCAGAGGTCAGTGTCAGGTGTCTTTCTCAATCGCTGTCTAGTTTTTGAGACAGAGTGTCTCAGTGAACCTGTAGCTCACCAATTTGGTTAGACCTCCTTTACCCCACTCCTCCATCCTGGGGTTGTAGGCATGTGCCACAATGCCTGACTTTTTAATGGGTCCTGGGGGTCCAAACCCAAATCCTCAGGCTTACATGGCAGGTACTTCCTCCCCAGCCCACAGAGCATTTTATTTTAGAGAAAGCTGTTCCACTTCCCACTGCAACAGGACTGTAGAGTGCTATACCCTGCAACCGGAGTCCAGATACATCTTAGATAAAGGGTCAGAAGTGGGACGTGGGGTGAAAAGGAGGGTGCCTGTGGTTTGCTTCCATTTCCAGACTCCTAGCTGGTGCCGGTCTAGGAACCCTAACAAAAAGACCTTTTGACTCAGACATGTAAGTATACATTTTGGCTGTCCCTTAAGTGAATGATGTCTAGTCCCCTCTTTCCTCAGTTTCCCAAGTATTGTAAGGGCCCAGCTGCTGTCGGTAGATTTGAGTTTAAAGTTTTTGTGTATTGTTTGCAGCTACCACATAGTGTATAGAAAACCAAACAATGATTTGATAATGTGCATTGGTCACTTTACAAGGAAGGTAAAATACTTAGAATTATGTTGCTAATTTAAAGGACCCCCCTATGCCTTTTGTTTAGGTCGACTTAGTCTAGATTATAATGTAGTAGAACTGCTGACAAAGTCCTGCTTGTGTGAGAAAGAGGCTCCTGTCTCTGAGTGAAGTTTCTTAGAGACTAACCTGTGTCTGAGTTTGCTTTCTATTGGTGTGATAAACACCATGACCAAAATCAACTCAGGAGGAAAGGGCTTATTGGGCTTATGTGTCTTGACTACAGCCTACCGTGAAAGGAGAGAGGAAATGAAGCAGAGCTCATGGGGAATGCTGCTTACTGGCTTGCTCCCCAATAGCGTGCTAGGCTTGCTCTCTTATACCACCTGCCAAAGGGTGGTACCATTCCCAAGGCTCTCCCACATCAATCACGAATCAAGAAAACATCTTTGTCAGTAGGTAATCTGAGGCCCTCAACTGAGGTTCCTCTTCCCTGATAAGTCTAACGTGTCAAATTGAAAAGAAAAAACTAACCAGGACATGTAGCCTAGCATGTCAGTCAGTATAGTTTTTAACAAATATACCCTAATATTATAAGTCAGCAGACCTTAGA